AATCCTAAAATAACAATGACCCATGTTAAGCCTAACCTAATGTTATAGGACAAAAGATACAACTAAGCTCTAATTTCAAACCTGAACTTGACTATGAGTACTGACCAATCTAAACTTATGTTATTGAACCCAAATAACTACGGATAATAATATTAACAGTAAAAATATTCAAAAACCATAACAGTATAATGCCTTATCTTTACAAATTATTTCAAAATTTGTGGGCCCCCAAAACTCGAGTTGAGACCCGATGAAGGTCAACTCATTGGATGATCAATCTCCCGACAAAGTAAAGCTGATAATTTCCCAGTCAAGGACCACCACCTGAAGCCCGTGTAAATGTGCTGATAGAAGGTAGGTCCTCCAAAGTGATAACTTAGAATTCAGAATTCGAAATGAATAACCAAATACAACCATCCTGGCATAAAGAAATAAAAAGTATAAAAAATTTGTAATGAAGTATTACGTTCCATAACTGAATAGAAATATAAAATAATTCCACTTTGGAATAAGATACAAATATCATTATTGTATAATGAATAGTAAACTGATTGAGAGAAATTGATACTAAAAAAAAAAAAACATTTGAAGAGAGCACAAACTAAACATTAGAACACGAGTACTGCCAAATAAGAAGTGATAGGTAGAATAGTATAGAGGGAGTCACGAGTTACATGGGTGTGTAGCACTACTATTGGTGGAAGGTTGTTGCATGATAATTTGGAAGCAAGAATCAGTTAAACCATGTGAGTCGTGGGATGCATGGCAGTGAAAGGTTTGTGGCATGCAAAACATATTTTGCAATTAGGGAGCAGTACTGAACGAGAATAGCCATATATATGAGCAGAAGTAAGGTACCTTGTTGAAATTTGTCAGTTATTCTGGTATGTGCAGTTTTCATGTAGCAAATGGTCAAGAAAATTTGTAAGTTGCTATCATTCTAGCTGCCTTTGTTTTTTGTAATTTTCTTCAGGTAAACCCTGGTCTGTCCATGAAAGGTATGGCAGTAATGCTATACGTTATGCAAGGATATCAACAGCAGTGTCCTACAGTGGAAGGTTAGGTGATGTCTTGAGAATACAAATATCCTTATGTTTCCATAGGGTTGTGAGCAAGTGACACTTGCATCTTGAGAGGCACAATATTATAGAACTTGGTATACAATACTATTATATCTTAGCTCTCTCTCTTAGCCTTAAGTCTTCAATTTGGTAAGTGAAATTTAACTTCTTTCAGTACAAAGCAATATCCTTCTAACATTTAAGCTGCAATGTTAATTAAATCTTAATAAACTTCTTTATAAATTAGATGAGCTTAGAGTGTTAGCTGTCTAGTAAAGACACTGTCCATCTAATACTTACATTATTTTGAATATTTTTGAGTTTAAATAAAGATTTGTTTTCACTGTGTATTTTACATTGTGTCCAGTCTCTTTCTTCTTAAACCTCAGTTACAGAATTCTAAATTGCTTTGCAATATAGTTTTCAGTAAAATAACCTATTATTCTGTAGACCTATAATATTCACTAGGTATATCAGTTTTGTCATTAAATCAAATCTTAAGTATAGCAACTACTGGTTTCTCTATACTAGCAATATTTTTAAAAACTGCACTTTGACAGTTTTTAAAAAAGCTACAGCAGTATATACACATTCATGTTTGATTTGCATTTGGCAAATTATTGCTATTCTGTTTAGTTAATCTTACTATATTATTACAACAATGCTAACAAAAGATAGAAACTTCTCACTGAACTTACTATAAAATTGCCAGGTATATGAAATATATTTAACATACCATATTATACATGCATACTCACAATTTGTTGCAATTTAATGTTCAGTCTTCTTAGAACGGGCTGTATTGCAGTGTTTCTTGGCTCTAAGTGTTGGACAGCTAAAGCATCTTTAAAGGCTTCATTAAAGTTTCCAAGTTCTTCATAAGCTTGAGATCGGCGAAACAATGCCTTTACATCTGATGGTTCTTCTTCCAAAACTAACATGTTAGAAAAATATGACAAACTCAGTATTTTTAATTATCTGTAGAAATAACAATTTCTTGTGAATTATTTCATTGACCATTGAATATTCAAAATACATAGAAGGGTTTGAATTTCTTTGTATTATCCTTTAAAGCTAACATTTTTCTTATCTAAAAATGTATTTCAGTTAGATACTCAGAGAACTGTTTAAAAGACCTTTTTGTGCATGTGCCAAACCTTGAACAAAACTTCCAACTCTACACATGTATAGTGCCAGTCTATAATGCAATTAACATTAGAGTATAGCCCTTCACCAACCATAAACAATAATCCCCTTGAACATATTGTGTATTACTACAAGCTCATTCTTGACAATGCAAAAGAAACACACCAGAAATGGAGAGGAAAGATAGGTGGTTCCATGAAAAGGTATCTGAAATACATTTTAAGGAAATTAAATATGCTAACTTCAGAAATGCTAATCACCACTCAATGGTACTGACAGCTAGAATTTCCTATTGCTATTATGGTGGACAGCCCAGTGTAGATAAGGAAAATGAAAAATATGAGCTTCCTTCTAATAATATATGCCATTATAAATATAAAACTCATGGAGCATGTCACCCACTAGGGAGTGGAAAACCTAGTGGAAAATCATTTGGTGGGAGATCACATCCATTTCATGCAGAAAATACTCTTTGCCAAACAAATGAGATATAGAAAAAGGTATTGTCTGAACAACTTCCTGGGTGCTAAAGTGTCTTATGGGTGGGAAAATTGTAAAGACTGCTCAAAACCCATCCAGCTGGCTTAATTACTGGATTATGGTGTAATTCTTAGTGTAGGGGGTGGCCTGTATTATACTTACAAGTAACCAATTCAACCTTACTTCTAATTGAAGGGTGCATCCACTTAGTCTCATACCAGTGGGATTACACTGACCTGAAGAGAACTATCTATATTGACCTTCCCAGCAGCTTGGGACTGAGGAAGTAAGGGTTCTCCCATTACTTCACTTAAAGAAAAAGGGGTAGGAATAAAAAGAGGTGTGTGTGTGGACCAAAAGGAGTTTCTATTATATGTACAATGTCCCAATACACTGATATTTTGTGCAACAGATTACCATAAATAGAGACAGCAGGCACTAGTCAGGAGTGAGAGCAGGATCACAATTGGTGCTGTCCTTTTTTTCCCTTGAATTATGACTTTGAATGTGAAATATATATTTTGCCATACAGTGTTGTGGAAAACTTCCTCATTCGTCAGGGACAGATGGGCTTAACACGTTCTATTCTACCCAATTCATTGTGAATTTTGGTTACATGGTGGGTTTCATTGTCTAGTATGTATTTGATGAGGGACCTGCAAAAATTATAGTAAAATAAATAAATGAATTAAAAAATAATAATAACAATAATTAACCTCTCCAGAGCCTTTGGGGAGATTAGAGAATGGTGACTGAAGAGAGACAAAATCCAGAAACAAATTAAACTGCAACATGGTTTAAGTAATGGGACACACATGTGTCAGGGTCATCCACATCCCTGACTGCAAGATTTCAACTGCAGGGCATCCATGATAAGAGATGTGAGAAGCTGTCAGATGACAAACTTCATAGGAGGTGACAAGAGAAAAACGAAAGTGAGCCAAATCAATTGCTCAACTCAACAGATCAGAGTGAAAGGAGATAAGTTACAGGAGGAAGAGGAATCCCACAACAACAAAAAAGACAATGTCAAGAGTCTCAATCAGAGCAGCAAAGGCAAAGGAGCAGCAGCCTGGGAATAAAATTAATCTGTCCCTGGGATAATGAGTGCAGGAGGTATCCAAGTCAAAATGCCATATCTCAAGAGTGCTATATCCCACGAGCAAGAAGAATAAAATACGTCTTTGGAGAAAGATGGTACAAGGATCAGATGGTCAAATATTTAAAAAAGGGACACAAGGGAGCCTCGAGAACAAAAGAAGAGGAGCCACATAATGATGATGATGACTGATGAGAAAGGCTCAGAGAGAGATCTGCAAGAACCTGAGAATGAAAAAATAAAGGTCAGGGAAGAGACAGTAAGTTGTTGACAAAAATCCTGAAAGAGAATGGACCAATCCTGACTCAGAGATGCAGAGTCCTATACTGGTGACCAAAAAAAAGTAGGAACATGATGGTGAGGGGAATCTCAAAGACATCAATCAGGGTTGGAACAAAATCACTGAAACCCCAGAAGGTTGATAATGCAAGTCTATTATATTTGAACATGCTTTAAGAGAATGTCATCCAATTTAATTCAAGATCATAGCAAGTGGCAGTGATGAAAAAAGTTTCCATGTGAGAGTTTTCTCATGCATAAGCTGAGGCCTGAAATCAGTATCAGAGGAGCTGATAATAAACTGCTTCTAATTTTACAGAAAGAAACATCATCATTTGAAATACAAATTTTCCTTTAAATTTCATTCATTCATGAATTGATAAAGAATTTGGGTGTTAAATTATATCTGTTTGAAAGCTACAGAAATTTCAAATGTGAAAACATTAGATAACTGTAGGGTAAGGTAAGCAGTCTAGAGACAGGTTGAAATGAGTACCAAACTTTACAAATTTCACACAGTAACAAATGTACAATGTTTTGACAAGTCTGTCATCATCAGGTACAAGTAGTTTGCCTACACATAAGAATATATACAATATGAAACAAAGAGGATGCATGACTAGAGACTGCTTAAGGCATAATAAAGGTATTTTGTTGATGTCTGGTTCTTTGCTTGAATATGGTGTTTTTAATTTTTAATAGCTATAATATGATTTTACTGAGTTGCAATATTTATAAGTGCAAGTTTTTATGTTCATCAAATAAAATCATCATCAAATCTCATAAGTTTAGTTAAATTTACTGTTTAGTCAATATGTTAAGGCAAATTCAAAATATTCTGATGCCTCAAATCTTTATTGAATATTATTCTTATATTTATCATATTCAAACAATGCAGTTTAGTAAACTGGCTATCTAGCTACTTTATTTCTAATCACAATCTTGATATGTTTTAAGTAAAAAATATTTATTCAATCATCAAGTTATTTGACTTGAAGAAGATCTGTGTGGGACTGCTGCATATTTTAAAAACACAGTGATGATGGTATGGTGGCATTTAGTCATCATTATCAATTCATTCATGAAATAGTAAATGAATATAATTAATATAAATTAATAAGCCCATCAATTACTAAATACCATCCATATTTTACTTTATACAGGTTTTTCTTTACTGCTGAAGCTGTATTATGCATCATAATGTTATAGGCAACAGATAGTGATGTATATTTTGTTTTACAACAAAACTACAAATATTAATTGAAAATAATAACTCGCCAAAACTATGTACATTCGTCCATCTTTGAACTGCCAGGCTTCACTGAAATAATCAAATTAAATGATTAGCAAAATCCACTACTAAACACACAACTCAATCCACAGAAGTGAAAAGTAGGAAAATGGAGCTTTCAGTGTATAGAAGACAATGGTTGTCTCTAGTAAAAATTCACTTTTGTAATCTGTGACGCCCAGCTCTCCAAGATGGGGACATCAAAACATAGCAAGAGGTTGAGAAGCAGGAAAGAGAGTAACCCTATAAGGCTTCTGAGGACTAGATAGAAGCTGTATGGACCCCTTGGACTGAGCAAGGCAAAAATCCAAAGTCAGCAGAGAATACTGCTATCAAGCTGCCTCATCTCAAGCTTCCAATAAATAAGGAAGCATACCAAACAGAGATCTCCCAGTCAAGCAAATTTCAGAAGCAAAAAAAAAAGAAAAGTTAATTGGGGTGCCAGAAAATGTTAGAGAATCAAGGTAGCCAAGGTGGAAATAAAAAAAAAAGTATGATTTTCACTAACGAAGCAATCAGAGTTGCAATGAAGAGCTTCTGAAAGAAGGTAAAGTGTGGAGAGACACAAAGAAGGTGAGCAGACTGAGACCAAGGAGAGACAAAAAATGAGAAGGAGCAGATCCCCCAAACTAGAAGAAGAGTTTCTCGAGACTGAAGGTCAAGGAAAAAAAGAAAGAGTCGTGATGAAACACCTTAGAATACGATAATTGAAGCCTGAGAGGCTGAGGCAGCTAGAGATTGGCATGAAGTAGAAATAAAAAAGTTATTTGTTAGAAATACTAATATCAGGGGAGGAGGGGAAAAAGGTAGATGAGAGAAGGAAGCCCATGCAGCAAAGTAGCAGTATTTACAACTGACTCTTATCTACACGTATCCAACTTATATATGTGGTATATAAATATGTCATGCCAAACATGTAGCAGTATTTACAACTGACTCTTATCTACACGTATCCAAGTTATATATGTGGTATATGAATATGTCATGCCAAACATGTAGCAGTATTTACAACTGACTCTCATTTACACTTATCCAACTTATATATGTGGTATATAAATATGTCATGCCAAACATGTAGGAGTATTTACAACTGACTCTTATCTATACGTATCCAACTTATATATTATTTAATATTATAGTAATTACTTTGAATTTATTTTCTGTTCCATACATGTACAGGTTTCACAATACACATTTTTGAGAAAGCCATTTAGTTAATTTTGTTCTAAGCCATCTTTGTTCTTTTGATGTTCTCAAAGTGGATAATACCTGTTCTGCCTGGGAAGGATGTAGACAGAACTGTCTTTCAGTGGTTGTTCAGGTGATATACAGAGGTTGTAATGAGAATGACCAGTCATGTTCATAGCACTATTCATCCAGTGTAAAGATGAAGTATTTTGCATGCTAAGGAATGTTAAGTTTGGTCACTACAATCTGAAATATCATTTCAGTTGGTCTAGACAGGATGAGAGAAAAGGTTTACATTGTGTTATAACAAAGATTGTGTATCTTGAACTAGATTTTGTGTCCAGTCTCGTAACTTCACTCTACAACAACTCGGTTAGCAAGAGGTTTAGTAATTGGTATCTAGAGTAAATTCTTGTTATCTACCAGACCTATCCAACACAGCTCTAAAATTAATTCAATTTCAACTGGTAACACAGGAGAGAATGTATCATATAGCAAAAATAAGCATATTTTTCAAATACACTACAATATTTGATTAATTTGAATCACGGATATCTCACCTCTACTATAATTCTTAGCTACGCTTTTCACACAGATATGGAGGTAGCACAGAAAAAAGCCTAACATTCCTGGAAAAGAAAAAGCATTAATCTTGAAGGGTAATCTCCAAAATAATATCACCAGCTAATATAATGTTAATGCATGGGCTCCATAACAACATACTGGGCAGTTTAAAGACATGATGTGAAGAAAGCCCCCTCAGTACTTATAAAAACATCCACTGTTCTATATGGAAAACATCTATAAGTTTACTACAAAAAGTTCACAATAGTACAAGTCATGTACAAATGAGAAAGAAAACTACTTCTGAATACTATTCCCAAGGATAGCATGTTAGAAAGGTGTATCCAAACACTCAGTTTTAAAATAAGCTGGAATATAGATGTTATGCTTCTCCAGCAAACTACTTCTGAATACTATGCCC